TATATATATATATATATATATATATATATATATATATATATATATATATATATATATATATAACAAATGGCTTTTAATCAAATTCCTTTCTAACACAATCTCCATCAAATTGAAGGGTTGCTTTCATCTTGAGATGCCAAAACAAGAATGAAATCATCATAAAACAACAAACCAAGTTGGTCAACAAATTTTGTTTTCCAAATTTTCTCCCAAATAAATATTTTAATTTTTCAGAGATTAGAAAAGTCCACTCCGATTACGTGTAATTTTAAGATCCGTTATCCGTATGTCAAATCATATATGTGATAATTTAAAAAACGACACTGTCCTTTTTGTCGTGAAAATAAATTATAACTTTTTACTGGGTTTTAATGTAAATTTGTAACCTTAAAACACAACGGAAAATTGAAAACTTTGGTTAAAATAGAACTTTTCTAAAATAAAACCCTAATCGGATCCAATGAGACATTTAATTAAAATTACATACCATATGATGTTCATAATTGCATCTTTTTACAGATCTAGTGTAGATTTTATACAACACTTAGAATCAAAAATAGGATTCCTCTATCAGTGATCAACACACGAGCACGCTAAGATCTCTCACCCGGTGCTGTCCCAAGAACCCTAGATCTATATGTGTATTACAGAAAAGAAAATGTTTCTTTACTGTATAACTTTTGAAAGGCTAATTATAAAGATTCAATCCATCAGAGTTGATTTAGCCTATCTCCTTATTTAGATGGTCTGAATTATAGATAAACTATAATTCAAATAAGCTTTTAATAATTATCTGTAATAGTTATCTTAAACTTTAATATGATCATACATATTTACATATAACACCCTTTATAAATATCATAATTACATTTTAATACATATTTTCATAATTATCCTTCAAAAATAATTATATCTACAATCAGCTTGATCTAATTCGAGTTTCTACAAATGAAAGCAAACATATTCTTTGTATGTGACTTTATAAATTTTACATACTCCCTAATAGTATTATTGTGTGGACATATGATAACTTATCCCTGTAATAGAAAGATTTAATTGTTAATATGTAAACAACGAAAATTTTAATTACATATTAAAATCAATTGAATCGGTATCTTGATAATTTTTAATGAAAAAAAATGATTCTATTTAATTTATATATCAACATTAACAAAACTGTATCATCAAAAACTACCATATTATATGAAATAATTGTATTATATGAAAGAATTATATCATATGAAATATAATGCTGAGTTCCGATGAGAACGTGAGTTAAGTTGGCAAGTATAAGAAAAGATCTTCACCCTTGCATGCATATTAGAATGAGATGTACCAAGATAAAATGCATCGAGATGCACCAGATCAATCCCTATATAAAAGCGCGATTCATGAATAGGTTTGAGATCAAATGTGATCAAAGTTACACTTTTCACCTTAACTTTTTTTTTTTCTCACCATCCTTCACCATGAAATATATATATATATATATATATATATATATATATATATATATGTATATATTTCAATTGAAAATTTATTTATTTAATTTCAAATATAAGAAAAAGGCATAAATAAATAATTAAAACAAATGTAGATCAAGGGAGTTGACCATGATTAATTTGGTCCAGCACACAAATCGTTGGATTACTTAGCCATCGGACTTGATCACTTTAAGTATTTTATATATTAAATCATTTAAAAATATTTTTGAAACGTAATTAATTAGCAATAAAACATCGAGTTTATGTTTGACTTCATTCATTTTTAAGTCGTATAACTTTTTTTCAAAATAATTTGTTGATTTAAAACGTAAAATGTTGATTGATCCCATGTTTAAATTCAAGTAGGAATAAAAATCCTTTGTGGCCACGGAGGTTCAAATGCGGTGACTCCGGATTATCTGCAAAGCAAGTGGCCGTCCTGAGATTAATTGGCTCGCATAACGGGTTGGATATCCAGGTTAATAAAAAAAAATGTTGACTGGTCAAAAACGACTTTGCAATTTGAGGTCATGTTTGTGAATCATAGCTAGAAATGGACTAAAGACTGTTCGGTTTAAGTTTTATATGAATAAAGTTATCTGTATTTATAAATTTTTATCAACCATGTGTATTTTTTTTTATTAACCTGGATATCCAACTCGTTATACGAGCCGAGTAATCTCAGAACGACCACTGATAGCCCGAAGTCAGCGCATTTGAACCTATGTGAACACAAAAGGATTTTTATTCTTCATTGGATTCGAACCTGTGACCTCCAGTTATTTTTGACTTTTGAAGCCAAGCTCAAACCAACCTGACATAGTTACCATATATATTTTTATTTATGGGTTTTCAAATATTAAAAAGAAAAATTGAATTTAATATTTAAAAAAATCAATTGATTGGATAAAGGCTATGGAACCTTTTTTTACGTCAAAAAAAGCAACAAATAAAAAGTAATTAAAATTGGTTAAATTAAACCTTTTATTTTACCCATTTTAATATTTGAAAAGATTCCTTTCTTTTACGCTGGGCACCACACAGTGCCAGAGTAGAAGCTCAAGAACACAGAGTGTAATCAATTCCATCTCTACCCTCTTTGCTCGCATTAATTGCGATTTGGTTTGCATTTATTAAGATTCAGAGGAATCCCATTAACTACACTCACAGACGGAGCGCTTTGGGTTTGGGGTATCATTTTAGGGTTTTTGGAGTCATTGCTTTCAGTAAATCTTTTTTTCCTCCTCTGTAACTTTCTTGAACGATTTCGAGTTTGATTCTGTTGTTTTTGAATTGTATCTTTCTTTAGTAAGGAAACCCTTTTGTGTGGGAGTCGACTGTTGTCTACTTTGCGTTTGGAAGTTTGAATCAAAGGTTTTGATTCCGAAAATGCTTCAAAATTGAGTGCTTTTGCTTTATTGAATCTAGGGTTCCGACCTGTTTTTATGCTTTTTGGGGGAGAAATTCGATGGGATAAACTCACAATCAAACGAAATCGTTCAAAACCCATTCTTTTTCTCGAACGTTTTTTCTAATTTTGTGGGATTAATTTCCTTTCTAATGCATATTTCACTGTGGAAACCGATCATATCTCATTGTGCTTCTCTAATTTCTGACAAAAAGAGCAGAAGAAAATATGGGTCTGATCACACCAATGAGGAAATCAAACGCAGTCCATCTGTTCGACGAAAGTTGCAAGAGAATAAACTCAGAGAAGCTCTTGAACAAGCCTCTGAGGATGGGTCTCTTGTTAAATCCCAAAATATGGATTTTTCAGAGTCTTTTGATAGAGAAGACAAAGGTTTGGGAAGATCAAGATCTCTTGCTAGATTACAAGCTCAAAAGGAATTTCTAAAAGCAACTTCTCTAGCTGCTGATAGAACATTTGAAGATAAAGACTCCATTCCTGAATTTGATGAAGCTTTATTGAAGTTCCTAACCATGTATCCAAAGTACAAATCTTCTGAGAAAATAGATCAATTGAGGGTGGATGAGTATTCACATTTAGCAGATACTATTTCAAAGGTATGTCTTGATTATTGTGGATTTGGGTTGTTTTCATTTCTTCAAACTGTTCATTTCTGGGAATCTTGTACATTTACTTTATCTGAGATCACTGCTCATTTGAGTAATCATGCTCTCTATGGTGGTGGTGAAAGGGGAACCGTTGAGTATGATATAAAGAGTAGAATTATGGATTACCTAAACATCCCTGAGAATGAATATGGCTTAGTTTTTACTGTCAGTAGAGGTTCTGCTTTCAAACTTCTAGCTGAATCATACCCTTTTCATACCAATAAGAAGCTTTTGACCATGTTTGATCATGAGAGCCAATCTGTGAATTGGATGGCTCAAAGTGCAAAAGATAAAGGTGCAAAGGTTCATAGTGCTTGGTTCAAATGGCCTACATTGAAACCCTGTTCAACCCATCTTAGGAAGCTAATCTTGAACAAGAAAAGGCGGAAGAAAGATTCGTCAACAGGTCTTTTCGTGTTTCCTGTCCAATCTCGAGTTACTGGTGCCAAATACTCGTACCAGTGGATGGCATTGGCTCAGCAGAACAATTGGCATGTTTTGCTAGATGCAGGGGCATTGGGTCCTAAAGACATGGATTCGTTAGGGTTATCACTATTTCGACCAGATTTCATTATAACGTCTTTCTACAGAGTTTTCGGGGATGACCCAACTGGATTCGGATGTCTTCTGATCAAGAAATCCGTAATTGGAAGCCTCCAGAATCAGTCTGGACATGCTGGATCTGGGATAGTGAAGATCAGTCCGGTTTTTCCTTTATATCTGAGTGATTCCGTGGATGGAATGCCGGGATTGGCTGGGATTGAAGATGATGAAGTTGTAAAAGGTGAAGGGATATCTGAAAGTCACGCCGGAGCTCTTTTACCGGCATTTTCTGGTGCATACACTCCTTCTCAGGTGAGGGATGTTTTCGAAACCGAAATGGATCATGGGAACAGCCCAGATAGAGATGGAGCTAGCCCCATTTTTGAAGAAACAGGAAGTTTTTCTGTCGGGGAGGTCATGAAGAGTCCGGTTTTTAGCGAAGATGAATCATCAGAGAACTCGATGTGGATCGATTTGGGTCAGAGTCCATTGGGTTCCCAATCTGAGATCGTAAACTCTCCTTTACCTCCGCCCTCCTGGTTTTCCAGCAAGAAAAGCAATGAGAAAGAGATTGATTCACAGCCCCATATCAGCAAAGTGCTATCTTTTGATGCTGCAGTTCACAATGTCAAAAAAGCAGACAACTTTCAAGAAAGTTTTCAAGAAAAATCTCAAGAAACCGAAAGGAAGTTGGAGATTTCAGAGATACAAGAAGAACCCGAATCCAAGAAACTGAAAGAAAGTGCCGTCATACGAAGAGAAACCGAAGGCGAGTTCAGATTATTGGGAAGAATGGAAGGGAGCAGACGGGTATCTTTCGGATTGGAAGACAACAATAAGCATTGTGAAGATTTCTATATCAGTGATGAAGAATATTGCGAAGGGCAAGAATCAGAAAGAAGAGAACCTGAAATAACCTGCAAGCATCTTGATCACGTAAACATGTCGGGTCTAAACAAGACCACACTCAGGCTCCGTTTCTTGGTCAATTGGCTCGTGACCTCTTTGCTTCAATTGCGGTTAACTGGTTCAGATGGGGAACAAGATTCTGTTCCACTGGTTCACATTTATGGTCCTAAAATCAAGTACGAAAGAGGTGCATCAGTGGCGTTCAACATAAGGGATAGAGTCAGAGGACTAATTAGTCCAGAAATCGTTCAAAAGTTAGCCGAATCAAATGGGATTTCTCTTGGTGTCGGCATTTTATGTCATGCAAGGATTATACAGAGCACGAAACAGAATCATGCAGCGATTGATCTTGCTGACACGACGCTCTGCAAACCTATGAACAATGATGGAGGTGGATTTGTTCGAGCTGAGGTTGTCACTGCTTCACTTGGTTTCTTGACGAACTTCGAAGATGTGTATAAATTGTGGGTTTTTGTGGCGAAATTTCTTGATCCATCGTTTATCAAAGAAAACGGAGATTCGACTGAGATGGAAGGTGAAGAACAAACCGGGTAAGTTTTAATCGATTTGGTAAAGATTTTTGGTATTTTATGCATCAAGATAGAAGATACCCATTTGGAGTTCATATTGATGGTGGATTTGAATCTGTATCCTGTGAAATCTTGCTTTTGATATGAAAAGTTTCTGGTTTATTAGTTGTAGTTTAGCAGCTTTGTGCCATTTCTGGAACATAATCTGATGAGCTTTTTTACAATCTCAATTATTCTTAGAACTGTTTTTTTTAATTAACCTGGAGATCCAACCCGCTATGCGAGCCGACTAATTCCAGGGCGACCACCTGCTTTGCAGATAGCCCGGAGTCGTCGCATTTGAACCTCCGTGTCCACAAGAGGATTTTTATTCCTCCTTGGATTTGAACGACCTCCTTATACTTTTGATCTTTGGAGCAAAGCCCAAACCAATCAGGCACCACCTTGTGGTTTATTCCTTAGAACTGTTGACATTCTCTTGCATAAAAAATGGAATTTTTCCAAAATAATCATTTTTTGATCATATTAATTCTTATAGCCTTTCTTTTTTCAGATAATTTGACCGAAATAGTCGAGATTTTGCATTTTTATGAATATAATATTCATAAAAGTAACAATTTTGCAAGTTGCCGAACTGCTATTTGCTAAATATACACCTACACAATTTGTTAAATTGGTATTTGCTAAAGTTTGTTAAAGTAGTACTTAAAGCATCTCCAACCGTTATGTTAATTTTTTTTAAATAAAGTATCAGTCAAAATATCTAAAAGAATTACATGTAACTCCGACAACTATTTCATTTTAACGGTTCTAACATTAATGATATTATTAAAATATTTAATACATTTAATAAATATTATTTCTTTTACTAAACATTTCTTATTAATATTTTTTATTGATGGAAAATATTATAACAGTAACACCTCTTCTTTTATATATATATATATATACAAGATAGCATAACTGTTTTGAGTAAAATTATTAAATTTTTTTTTTTTCATTTTAACATAACTGTTAAAGATACTCTTACACAATTTCCTAAAATATTACTTGTTATATCTATATTTCATAAATTATTACTTATTTTAACATACCTGTTAAAGATGCTCTTAATAAAAATACAAAATACAGAGAGAGAGGGAGGGAGGGAGAGAGAGAGAGAGAGAGAGAGAGAGGGGGGATCTTTTTGAAGCCAATCTTGTTTGACTTTGAGCAATCATAGCAATATTATACTCTACAACATCAGTGGAAGAACTGGAACCCACACCCCACCAATCTTTGAAATTTTTTATATTAAATAAATAATTTTTTAATATCAAGAATTTGATTTTATTAAAAGTTAGCGTTTTAAAAGACTAGTCATGAAAACTCGTATTTAACGTTGTATTACGTATGTGATATGTTATGACCCGATGCACCGTTTTTGTAATATAATATTTGATTTTGCTTACCTTTGATTTCTTAGTTTTGTTATATTATCTGGTTTAACTTGTTTAATATTATTGACTCATCGAGTAATAGTATAAAAGGTGTGTATATAAAATTATATCTATGATATAAATTTGATGTTGTAAGTTACGTTTTGAAAAATGTCATGACCTTGTCATAGCTAATAGCTACTAAGGGTTGAGATTGATCTAACTATCATATCATACCTCACACTAAGAGTGTTCATCGGTTGAAATCCAATAAAACAATTTCTTATTAATAAATTATACCTATAAATTCTTATACAAGTTTAAAACGAACAAAACGAACACGTTGACTATTAGTCATTGTATATTTACCATATTTATCGTTCTTATTCAAGGAATTTCTAAATCGTTTGTTGTGGGGTTTAACAATTAGATATAAAATAATTATAATATTTATGAATTCATGTTTTACTTTTACATATGTTTGAGGTTTAACAATATTATTTATATTTCAAAATAAAATTTTGTTTTACCATTTATCCATTACCCTTTTCGTTACCCGCTATTTTAATGGGTATGATAGGATATAGATAATAAGTTTTTATGAGATGGATAATTACCCTTTTTGTTGCCCACTATTTTTAATGGATTGGAAAATAGAAGAACCCTTACCCTACCCATTTCGTTACTCGTTGCCAGCCCTAGATCCAACATTGGTTGGGGAGAAGAATGGAGGTTACCTTATAAGGGACTTAATATCTCTTCCATCAGACACGTTTTAAAACCGTGAGTTCAGGTGTGTGGACAAAACGGACAATATCTAGTTACGCGTTTTAAACCCAATTTTATAGTAGTGATTGCTGAAAGCCTTCGTTTTGTAGTGCAACCTCTTCCTTGCTTTCATTAACTATATCTTTCTTTGATGGTCTTGAAATGCAGGCGTTGATACTGTATTTTGTCTTCTCCACATTTACTTACTCATCGCTCGCAGTCATTGGCTACCTTATGTTCGGTTCAAAGGTAGACTCACAGATTACATTAAACCTTCCTACATATAAGATAAGCCCAAAAGTAGCCATATTTGGTGAACCCGATAGCTAAATATGCAGTACTGGTGACACCAATTATCGAAACAAATTGAAGCACAATATTGATCGATCTTTTTTTGGTACGAAAATGCTTAGCTTCATGATTAGAACAATATTGGTAATAAGCACAATAATTGTTGCCGTGACACTTCCTTTCTTCGGGTATTTGATGTCACTTGTGGGAGCGTTGTTAATTGTCATGGTGTCGATCATACTACCATGCTCGTGCTGTTTGAATATTTCAGACACTTACAAGAGAATTAGACTTGAATTGGTTCTTATTGGATTCATTATCTTCATTGGGATCGTAATAGCAGTTGTTGGTACTTACGTGTCATTGCTAGGTATAGCAAGTCATATAAGTAACAAAATGTACCATTCGTGAACTTCACGACTTTATCTGAATACACATAAGTATTTATCGTTATTTTAACTTCAGGCTTACTATAGGTACTTTGTATAGTACGGTTGTAGGAATCCCTCTGTAACCATCGTTGATGGGTCACAATCATTATCAATATTTGTTTTACTCGTTACTACACAAAATTCTCTCATCAAGAATAAGAGACTAAGGGGCGTCGTTTACCTGAAACTTATCTGATAAGTGTTTATCAATAAGAGTCTAACACTTTTAATTAACTTACCATGTAAGATTTTATTCCATTCAAGTGGCATCATATGAAACATTTTTATCTGATAAACATTTATGGAGTAAGAGTCTTCACTCTCACTTACTGGATAAGACTCTCAGACCTTGTTATTGTTTTTACCGAATAAGATTCTCAATCATTGTCAACCTATACTATTTAGAGTGACCAAGAGACACTCCAACATCGATTTGAACAAAATGAAAAATTGAGATGATGGTAGAATTCACCACAACATTTAGAGAACAAGAAAATGTAAAAATCGAAAGAAGATCATAAAACTGATGGAAATGAACACTACAACAAAATTGGGTTTATAGGACACTCTTAATCTCTAAGCGTTCCAATAGACCGTTTTATAGAACTTAATTTATAGGACCAAAATATAAAGTGTCCCAACTAAAGGTGTTGTAATAAGTTTATAGGACGTTTTTGGACGTCTTAAAAAGTTTTTTAGGACATTTTTAATACAAAAGTGTTGTAGTAGCAACTTTATCAAAAGTGTCCTATAAACTCAATTTTTTATAGGACATTTGTTTTTATAGGACAATTTTTCAAATAGTGTCCTATAAAGTTGATAATGAGACGTTTTATATTAAAAGTGTCCTAAAAAACTTATTATGACGTCAAAAAACGTCATATAAACTTATTACAACACCTTTAGCTAAGACACTTTATTTTCTTGGTCCTATAAACTAAGTCCTATAAAGAGGTCTATTAGGACGTTTAGAATTCATGAGTGTCCTATAAACCCGATTTTGTTGTAGTGAAATCCTTCAACCATAAACGAAACAGAAAACTGAACAATACTTATGGATCCTTGGGACGAACCAATCTGATTGTTAAAGCAAATTTATATTTGATACCAACGTTACTATCAAGTTTATAAACTAAACCAAACTTGTTCGATTTAGTCATCTGAACATCATATTAAAACGAAATGTATGTAAACCTTACTTCAATATTATATTCTATTGGTGGAGCCCACATGTCACCAATGTTTGAAACTTTAGATATTAAATAAATTAATTAGGTTAAGTTTATCATAATTAATATTTAACTTGTAGCTAAATAAATTTATTAAGAAGTCCATCTTTAGTAATTATGCTAAAGTATGTAAATTTTAAGATTTAGATTTTCTTTTCTCCAACATCTATGCTAAAAGGTTGTTTGGTAGAATTTCAGATGAAATTAGAATGACAAATTCTTTTGACCAAATTTCAATTCATTTGTTTGGTTCACTTTTTGAAATAGATAGAATCATTCAAATTTTATTGAATTCCACAAATGAATGGATTCATCATTTCTTGGCATAATGGAAGAAATTGAAATCCATTCTAATTTAACCAATGCCAACCATCCCTGCCCTCACCATGACCATGCTACTATTGTCACCATCACGCCCCCACGACTAACCCTTTACCGCTACCGTTATCGTCACAACCGCCACCCAAACCCCTAGGCCACAACTTTTGTCGTCACATCTGTCACCACCACTCCATCACCCACCTACACTAACCCAACCCCGCAACTAACCACCATGCCACTATGGTCGTCATCACAGCTGCCACCTCTAACCCTCCTTACCCCCACCTCACCTACCACCACACCACAATTGTTGTCATCACAACTACTACCCCACCCCTGACCACCATTCCACTGTTGTCATCGTCATAACTACCCTCTACCATGTGGGTGGTAGGGTGTGTGTGGGGGGGGGGGGACAGAGGGTTGGACCTAATGGCGATAATGGGTGCGAGGTAGGGGTTGGTTGGGTGTGAGGACTGTGGGTGGGGCGGTCGGGGGGTAAGACCGAGGGCGGTGGAGATTCCAATTCTTACCAACCAAATGCGTGGTCAAATTCCATTTCAATTCCTTCAAAGTCAAATTTCTTTGATGGATTCCAATTCCACTAAATTCTATTATGCGAACCAAACACACCCTTAGAATTATTTACGAGGCAAATCTTCTTTCCATATTTATCATGATCTCTTTCTAATAATCCTTATTTAAAGGGGTTATGATTAATGAAAATTTATAGTCTTTTGGTTCTTTTATATTGTTTATTATGAGCATAAGAACTCTCTATAATGTTGGTTAGCAAAAAGCTACACTTTTAGCTTAAAACATAGCATTGAAGATGCTTTAAGAGCATCTCCATTGTAAAAGAACACTTTATGTTGCTACATCACTTTCAACTCATCAAATCAAAAACTCATAGGAAAGTCCACAACGGTAGCTCTTATAAAACCTTCTTGTCATTAATTTTCAACATCAATAATTATTACAGATTTATAATAAATATCAAACATTTAGTTTGAAACACATAAAAAAAACTTGTAAATTGTCACTTCACACAAACTTCAAGGTAAGAACTAACATTCTTTTACAAGAATGAAGCAAGAACTCTCCATAACGTTGGTTCCGGTAAAAAAAAAACTATACTTTTTGCTTAGAAGAACCTTAGACTGAAAATGTTTATAAAAGTGTATAAAAATAACAAAATTTTTATGGGTCAATATTAATTTGTCAAACCACCAAATTTTGTGCAAACAACTATTTCTCAGAACATAGTTATTGACCAAGGGATAAGCTTTTTAAATTTAAATTAATTTTCTGTTGATTATGTTGTATTTATAAATGGAAATATGAATATTAAATCAAGTATTAATCAAAGTGCATGTCATCTTGTTGCTCTCCCAAAATAAAAAGAAAAAAGAAACAATGAATTTATTGGGGGAGGCAATAAATAGTGTACAGATAGACTCAAATCACCACAAACAGAAACTGAGGTCATCATCAAATGAACAATTCAAGCTCTTTGCTTTTTATTGAGTCTTCTATGCACAAACTTACAGAAAGAAAGGAAGATTGAAACCCTTTTTCATGCATCTCCAGATTATTATTTGACACCCATTTTCTTCTTTGTTTCTTTCATCTTCTTGATCTGTAATTTGCTCTGTTTTTAGGGTTTTCAAGATTTCTTGAATCTTGATTTCAGCTAGGGTTTGTAGCGTTTTGGGTATGTTCTCTTTGGAATTCATCGTTTCTGTTATGTATTACCCAAATCAGACAGCTGAATTGACCATTCTGTTAGGTGGGTTTTGTCTATTCTTTTTTCTTGTTTTTTCCCTATATTTTGAGATTTCAACTTTGTCCACCTCGTCCTCCATCTTTGACGTCAATATTGTAAAGCTTTGATCTTCTTTCTTCATCATCTGGGAGTTATTTTTTATTGCCCATTTGAGGATTTTGATCTTTAAAAGCAAAAGATTTGAATTTGGGTATGTTTATAAAGTCAATTGCCTTTTGGGTTTTGGAATTAGGATTCTAAACTCCATCAAAAAAGATTTGGGGATTTGGGTTTAATGTGAATAAAAGTCAAACCTTTTGTTCTTGGTGTTAGGTTTGCTTTCTGGGTGCTTTTTGATGCATATTTCACTATGGAAGCCATTATCTCACTGTGCTGCTTTGTTCATGGACAAGAAAAGCAAAGATAGAAATGGGTCATCAGATGAAATCATTAGAAACCCATCAGTTGTTAGGAAATTTCAAGAAAACAAGCTTAGAGAAGCTCTTGAGGAAGCTTCTGAAGATGGGTCTCTGGTTAAATATCAAGATTTCGATTCCGAATCCGTGGAAACCAATCAAACCGTGGCGAAATCGCGGTCTCTAGCACGACTCGAAGCTCAGAAACAGTTCTTGAAAGCAACTGCTCTTGCTGCTGATCGAACATTTGAATCCGAAGACTCGATTCCTGATCTCCAGCAGTCATTCTCCAAGTTCTTGATCATGTATCCCAAATACCAATTAACAGAACAGATTGATCATCTGAGATCAGATGAATACTCTCATCTTTCTGATCATGTTCCAAAGGTATGCCTTGATTATTGTGGATTTGGTTTGTTTTCATTTCTTCAGACAGTTCATTATTGGGAATCATCTACCTTTAATTTGTCCGAAATCACTGCGAATTTGAGTAATCATGCTCTTTACGGTGGTTCCATAGAAGGCACCATGGAACACGATATAAAGATTCGAATCATGGATTATCTAAACGTCCCCGAGAGCGAATACGGGCTCGTTTTCACCGTTAGTCGAGGCTCCGCTTTCAAACTTCTGGCTGAATCGTACCCATTTCAGTCGAACAAGAAACTGTTGACGATGAACGATCACGAGAGCCAATCTGTTAACTGGATGGCTCAGAAAGCGAAATCGAAAGGGGCAAAAGTTCAGAGTGCTTGGTATAAATGGCCATCACTTCAGCTCTGTTCTGCTGATTTAAGAAAGCAAATTTCAAACAAAAAGCGAAAGAAGAAGAAATCAGGTGCCGGTTTGTTTGTTTTTCCGGTCCAATCGCGAGTCACCGGAGCGAAGTATTCATATCAATGGATGTCGTTAGCTCAGCAAAACAATTGGCACGTTTTGCTGGATGCAGGATCTTTAGGTCCAAAAGACATGGATTCTCTTGGATTATCTCTGTTTCGACCGGATTTTATCATCACGTCGTTTTACAGAGTATTTGGGTATGATCCGACTGGATTCGGGTGCCTATTAATCAAGAAATCCGTGATCGGAAGTCTTCAGAACCAGCCGGGACATGCCGGATCCGGGATAGTGAAGATCAGTCCGGTTTTTCCGTTATATCTGAGTGATTCCGGTGATGGAATGCCGGAATTGGCTACGATAGAAGACAATGAGCATGGTGAAAATGGTGAAGGACCATCTGGAAACCACGGTGGTCCACGGTTGCCCGCGTTTTCTGGCGTGTACACTTCCGATCAAGTGAGAGAAGTCTTTGATACAGAAATGGACCATGATACCAGCTCTGATAGAGATGGGGAGAGCACCATTTTTGAAGAAAGTGGGAGCTTTTCAATTCCAGATGTAATGAAGAGTCCAGTTTTCAGTGAAGATGAATCGTCTGACAACTCGTTATGGATCGATTTGGGTTCGAGTCCATTGGGGTCCAATAACCACCGGGGTTCGACCTCACCCTTACCGCCGGTTTGGTTTTCCGGCAAGAACAGAAGAAAGCAACTTTCTTCTCCGAAAACAACCTCAAAGATCACCAACAGTCCCGTAGTTGATAAAGAAACAAACCATGGAATGTTGTCATTTGATGCAGCTGTGATGTCGGTTTCTCACGAACTCGATAGTGTTACAGAAATCCATGAAGAACCCTTCATGGAAACGAACCATCTTCATGGAATTGAAGAAGAAACAAAAACTAAAACCACCCAAAGAAGCTCAAAAGTTCCATTGGAGTCGAAGGAAAGTGCCATTCGAAGAGAAACTGAAGGCGATTTCAGATTATTAGGAAGAAGAGAAGGAAATAGATTTTCCGGTGGTCGAATCTTTAGTACGAATGAGATCGAAGAACACAACGAATATCCTGAAAGAAGGGTTTCATTCATCAACGAAGATCACAGTAAACAGTTAGATTTCTTGGCAACAAATATGGAAGATGATGATTTTCTGAGCGATAATCAAGAATCGAGCAGACGAGAACCGGAAATATCGTGTCGTCATCTTCGCCATGTGAACTTATTAGGTCTCAATAAAACCACTCTTCGATTACGGTTTCTGGTCAATTGGCTCGTGACCTCACTGCTACAGCTTAGAATTCCCAGCTCAAACGGGCGAGAAAACACGCGGCTCGTTCATATTTACGGCCCCAAAATAAAATTCGAAAGGGGTGCTTCAGTGGCATTCAATCTAAGAGACGAAAACAAGGGTTTAGTCGATCCAGAAGTCGTTCAGAATTTAGCAGACGCAAATGGGATCTCTCTTGGTATCGGCATTCTAAGCCACATACGAATCTTGGATGGTTCAAGACCGAATCTTGAAGATAGTACAGTTTACAGGCGAACGGAGAGCGGAGGGCGAAATGGGAAAAACGGGTATATTCGAGTCGTGGTGGTGACAGCTTCTTTGGGTTTCTTGACCAATTTTTCAGATGTGTATAAGCTATGGGCATTTGTTGCAAAGTTCATGAATCCAGGTTTCGTGAAGGGTGGAGTTACAACAGATGAATAATGAAGAGTTGTATGTTTTGGTATGTAATTTGTATGTAGAGTTGTAGGGATGATGAGATGCATGATTTTTTGTTGTTAGATACAGATTGTTATATGCATAGTTGACTGTATAAAACTTCAGGTTCTTCATCATAATGAAACTGCATTTTGACAATTTCTTGGCTTTGGAACTTTTGGGCCAAACGTTTGTCTGTCAACGTCTCTTACGTGGTGGGTAAGCGTTAACTGTATAAGATTCTCGGTTCTTGTTATGTTTCTTACCAGATAAGATTCTTAATTCTTGGCACGTTCAATTGTTAAAGGTATGTGACATCTGGTAAGCATTTGGTAAATGATCCACTAATAGAGATGGCCAAATGGGTCTGGTCAGGGACCGCCGGTTACAGTTTTCGTCAAAAAACAAGGCCTGGCATGGCCTGGACTAGGACTGACCCAAAGTTTCAAAAAGTTAGTTGTTTTATAGTTGCGCAATGTTCATATGACCGTTTTTTTTCATTGTTAATCCTTTTTTGTCCCATTTACCCTCTATATATTGCATATGATACCAACCCACAAACCCAAAAAAACGCTTTTTCTCGCTATAGTTCGTGATTTCGGCTATTATTCGATCCAGTTTGTAACAACTCCTACTTTCCATCTCTTTCTCTTTAAGTGACCTAATTACATATTTTTAAGTGTATTATAATAACATTTTTTTATTCTTTAAAAGTTATATGTAAAAAACAATTTAAAAAAAAAAAAAAAAAACTTAGGACCAGTATGGGCCCCACCCAAGACCGAGTCTCGTAACCGGTTACGAGGGGCCTTTGGGTTTTGGTCAGGACCGGGATCAGTTACACTGGGAATCTGGATTAGGACCAGTTACGGGAATATTATTTGGGATCAAAACCGATTTTTGGTCATCTTTAGTCCTATAATAAGTGTTCACATTTGTATTTATATTTGTCACAAGAAAAGTGTTTTGGTTTTAAAAATGGATAACTAGATTCTAGAACAACCTTAATCAATGTTTAAGAGTTGTGAAGAAAAAAAAAAGTTGATCAAGGATAAAATCGTCATTTGGTTAACTAAAAAGTGCAATTACTATGCAATGTCCAAAACCGTGTCGCATCTCAATTGTGGACACTTGATGTTTACCAAACCCGTCTTACCGGTCCTTGATGATGACCTAGTAAGTTAAGGGATAACTCTTGCTCGGTTAATAATTAATGCTTTAAAACTTATTTCTACAATTCTATTACTATTTTTAACTGAAAATGATCCAAATAGTAAAAAACCCATTGCCATATGCCACAGTAGTTTTTATCTATGACAACAATTAAATTTATCTTAAGATTCTCGGGCATTTGACATGTTCATCTGACAAGGGTAATTGACGGCAATCAAAACAAAGAATATTGAAATGGTAATCTAGTGTAGCAATCAAAACAAAGAATCAACTCAAAAGGAGAATGATTCGCTCACATGAGCATTATTGTTGTCGCTGATTTGAAACAAGCTTAGTCGGCTTACATAGCGGGTTGGACATTCAGGTTAATAAAAAAAAAACAAACTTAGAAGCAAAATGAATTTGTTGATAAGAATAGCATCAGTTCTCAACTCTAACTCTAACCTGAGCCAAATGCAAACACAAAGTAGCATCAGTCAAAATATTGAACCCTATAAAACCAACAAACTAATAAGAATTCATAGAAAGTCGACACTTGTAGTTCTTATAAACGCATTTTGTGGGTCTTAAGAACATCTCCAACAGCTTATCCAAAATGAAGAAAATGGAATTCAATTCTATTGTAAATCCTATAAACCAAACACACCAACAACTCCACATCCTTTCAAATCCCTCCGGGTCTCCAATTCCAAATCTTTGCACGAAATCCAATTTCTTCAAAACCATTCAATCAAACCAAACGGCCCCTAAAAGTAGAGGATGTTGATATTCTATTAAGCTGAAGACCATAACTTGGCCTAGCTCTAAGTCTCTTTTCTTTCACAAATCTTTTCCAACCATTCCCATACACCGAGAGAAAGAAAATGCAACAAATAAACTCATACACCCTCCTCACCTTTGGTGAAGTTTGAACCTCTGACCTCCTAGGAGGCCAAATGCTACAATATCGCTTGGCCAAAGCCCCTTTGGTTTGAATAAGTTAACTTATGGTGATTTAAACGGGGATTTTACACTAAACTTAAAAAATAAGATAGTTTATGAGAGCATCTCCAGTAGAAAGTTCTTATAAGAATCATCATTGGAGAAAATTTTATAAGAACTTGGTGTGAAACAAAATTTTGTTAGTTTTTTTAATGTATTTTATTGATTTATAATTATTTATTGATGTTGAAAAAAATGCATGAGATCCACAAAAGCTTTATGTAAGAATTAGGGGCCGTTTACCAAATGTTTACCCGAGTAAGCGCTTACCAAGTCATTTTACCTTACCGGATAAATATGGTAAGGACCAAGAATCTTACTCGGTAAGAGCGAGACAAAGACCAAAAGTCTTACCCAACAAGTGAGAACTACGATTCTTACCATGGTAAGCGCTTACTGAGTAAATTGTTGCATACGGTAACGTTTTGGTGGACTAAAGTCCTACCAGTAAGTAAGTGGTGGTGGTGTTAAATTTTAGCAGTAAGCGCTTACAGGGTAAGTGTTTGGTAAACAGCTTATTGCTATTATGAATTTTTATTTAAGCTCTTAATTTAGTGAGCTAGAAGTGATATAGCAAGAAAACGTATAAAAATTAGGTTTTTATAAGAACTTCTAGAAGATGCTCTAAGCTAACTTATAATTGACAAACATGGCCTAAAATATTGTTCAATAATCAGTATGAAATGCATAAATGACTATTTTAACCTTTAGTTTACTTAGGGCTTGTTTACCAAATCTTATGGGTAAGCGCTTACGAAGATAAGAGGTCTGGCTGGAGTAAGATCTTTGAATGGGATAATTGTTGATCGAAAGTTGTAGTTTACCAGATATTTTGTACTAAGCGTTGACTGAGTAAAAATGACCATTATGTCCTTGACTAGAAAATCTTGTTAACCAAATGTTTTATGTTATGTGTTGATTGAGAAATTGTGAATGGACATTCTTTGTTTTACACATATAAAAGGTTTCAAAAACGACCATGTTTGATAAGGAAAAAAAAATTGACATTGACTTCTGAAAAATGGTAACTTTTTTTTTAAAATTTACTTGTAGAATTTCGAGTTTTTTTTTTTTTTTTTTTTGAAGTATATAACATTTATATATGATAAATTTAACAAATAAACTTACACACCCTTCTCACATTTGGTGAGGTTTGATCTTCTGACCTCCTAAGAGACCAAAGACTAATGCGATGCAATGAGATGCATCGTATCAATCCTCGTGAGAAGCGTAGTTTAATGGGTCGGGTGAGATTAAAAGTGATCAAAAGTCCAGATCAATTTTTATGTTTCTCACATTGACTCTTATTTTCACACGATCAATTCTTTTTGTTTCTATTTGTTCTATTTTTAGCGACGCATGGTAGGATTGCAGATGGATAAAAAAGATTCTTATTTCCTCAAAATCTCTACTCTAACATAGTTATCAGAGAATTCCTCAAAAATAATTACTATAAAAAATAAAATAATTTTTTATTATATTTTCACAAATAAATAACCTTAAACACTTGCAGGGAGTTTGGTTCATATAATGAAATTTAGTGGAATTGGAATCCGTATTGGGCAAAGGAATTTTCACTTTAAAGGAGTATTTGGTTCGCAGAATGATTTATGAAGGAATGAAATCTGTCAAAGGAATTGGAATGAATGTTATCAGGTTTGACCAAGTCTTTGATATTTTTTTTAATTACAAATAACAATAAAATTAGCATTTAATAAGTACTCTACACATATATACAAACACAGATATATAAATGAGTATGAAACAGTGTTCAATTAAACACAAATATTCATCTTGTGGGATATATACAAAGCAGTACAGGAAGCGATAGGTAGAAGCAGTAAATAGAATGGAAGCAGTGTTTGAATTCTTCCAAAAAAAAGCCACACAGCTCACACCCAACGCATTCTCTAGAACTCTTCTCCTTTCATTGTGTACATAACCACACACACACTACCACGTGTTATGTGTGCGTTTCTGATCCTTATGGATCAGCAATGGTGGATCATGTTATGCCTAACGTCATAAATTTGTTATCGTCTCCCGTTCAAAGAGTTGTTCAAATCTAACAATTTTGACTGTCCTTTGAACACTCAGAAGACATCTGTTTTTTATGCGTCGATTAAACCGAATATAAGCATTGGGAGATACCTAGAGCGGATATTCAAGTACGCCAATGGCAATCCTTCTTGGTGACTTTATATCTATCTCGATCGGTTCATGAAGAAACAACCGCTTTTGCCGATCAACTCTTTGAATGTCCATCGATTGCTTGTTACCAGTGTCCTTATTTCGATCACAAACCCAACTCACATTTCTTTCTATCTTTTTTGATAAATTTAGGTCAGAAGATAGAAAATAAGTGAGAGGATGAAGTTTCTTCAAGATGAGAGAACCATGAGGGTATTTTTGTCATTTACACATTTTTGGATGAAATGAATTTTAATTCCATCACTTTTACGAATGAATGGTGAAATCCCCAAATGAAGGAATGTTTGGAATTTAATTCCATTCCACTAGTAACCAAACGTTTGACGGTGATAAAATCCAGAAAACAATAATTATCTTTTATAACAAAATATATCATTTGAAGTTTTCGTCAAAACAATTAAAATGATACCATTTGAAGTTTTCGTCAAAACAATTAAAATGATATCATATAAAAAGTTTATGTGGTTTTCTATTTTTATTTTTATCTCTTTTCTACATTATTTTTTATTATTAATATATAATAAATTACATAAATTAATAAAAATATAGAAACCGTATAAAAAATAATATTTTGAGGATAGTAAGATGAAAGTTTAAGAAACATAAAATACAATAAATAAAATTTAAAGAATGAATAAAATGTAAAATAGAGACCTATTTGATGTTTTATAAGATAATTAAGTTTTATTTTGAGGTTATATTGGTAAAATATAAGTCTGTTTTACCTTGTTCCACCATGTTCAATGGGGTAGGGTCTGTTCCACCATGTTCAATGGGATAGGGGTGGAACAGGCTTGTTCCACTTTGTTACAGGCCTGTTCCACTTTGTTACAGGTCTGTTCCACCCTGTTCTTGGCTGTTCCACATCAAATTGATGTCAAATATGGGACATGGATCCCTGTCCTGTTCTGTCTTGTCCCTGTCCTGTGTACCAAACGCACCCCTAAGGAAATTGAAATGAAATTTGACCATGTTTTGACGGAAACTCAAGGGGTGGAGTGTAAATATCTCCAATCTTCAGGGGTAATAACTGAAAATAGGCTACTTATTAACTGATTTTCTTTTTCATTTCAACTGCTCCTCCATTCACAGGTCGTGTGAATCTGGAGGAAGGTAGAAGTGGGTTTTTTGAGGGGAAAATTTCATTATCGATGAAGCCTTGACAATCTAAAAACAACTCGTTGGGTGCCATCATTTTCAAGGTAATGTTGTCGAGTTCCTTCTCTAATGGAGTTCTCCTTCTTTTGTGGAAAACAGATTTTATTGAAGAAAACCTTGCTGTAATGGAGGTTCGGAATTTCATTTTGAAACCATTGAGGAGTTTTATAATTTGGGAATCGTAGAAGACGATTCAGTCATATTTGTAGATAAAAACCCTAAATAAGTAAATTGACGCCAAAACCCTAATCATGGAATCCTTTCTTCCATTTCTGTTTCTTTGATTGCTGTGAGAGATTTGAATGTGTGGGCTCGCACTATCGACTTGTTCAGGTTGAATAGATCTTGCGATCACATTGATTTCGTGTTCGCATAATGCTTAGTTTAAACAAAATGATTTCACATCTATTTTATTAAAAAAATAATTTCATGATTAAAACATAATTATAAATATAAAAACTTACAACAGAAAATAAATAAAACAAACCACTGGGGGATGTGGAGAGTTAAACAAAAAAAATTGCTGGTTTGGATGGTCGACTCTTGGGGTCTTTTGTGAGGGTGGATATTTTCAAAGATATATTGAGAGTGGGGGAATGACGATGATAATAATAGCATGGTCATGATGAAGATAGAGGTGGTTGGTGTTGGTTAAATTGGATGTAAAATGGTGAAATTCAATTCCTACCATTATTCCAAAAAATTATATTTCTTTGATTTGTGAAATTCAATATAATTTGAAGAATTATATCCATTTCAAAAATTGAACCAAACAAAAAAAATTAAAATTTTAATAAGAAACGCCCCTTATTGTTTACAACAAATAAATAATATTTTAGTAAATGCATGAACCGGAATTAAATAAAAATAAATAATATTAAAAAAATAATATAAAATAAATTTATATTAACGATATTAATAATTATATAAATAATATTCATGATTATTATTATATGATAATAAAAAATAAAAAAGTTAATTAATCATTAATATAATGATAAGATAGAAAGAAAGGACGGAAAAAATATTAAAGTAATTAATCGGGTTTTCCGGATTGCTTTATGTTTTTTTTCAAGTGTTTATCAATTTATATTGCGGTAAACTGAAATTTTATGAAAAACTGTTTGAATTAGTTTATGATGGTACCATATCGGATAAGCTAATAAAATAGATGAGATTTTTTTTTTTTTTTCATCCAAACATTAAAAATATCTTATGATTGATACCACACCGAAATAAGTTAATAAGTTAGAAGAAAGTAACTTATTAAAAACTTCTTATTACGGATGCCAAACTGGTATAAACATTTCCCTTTTTTTCTCCATCTAAACACTAAAAAATTCTTATTACCAGTATCATATCGGAATAAATTAATATAAAGAATCCCAAACACTCTATGAAGATGTTTGTGATTGTTTATTTGAAATTACTTATATTTTTTTACAAAAGCATTTATCAACTTATCATAAATTAGAATGGTTTAACTTCTTCAAAAACTTCTTATTACCGGTTTGATACTGGCATAAGTTATTTATCCAAACACTAAAAAATATTTATTATTGATACTATATAGAAATAAATCAATAATTTATTTTTATAAACCATCTCAAACACCCTTAAATAATTAGGAAGTGGAATTTTATTATCATTTATGGAGATTTTGCAGTCTGCCTCCAGAAACAAATCGTTATCGATTACACCCCGTCGTCAGCCGTCGTGATGCCGTCACGCCGGAAACCCACTAACTTCTACAGAGTCACCCTCTCCGGCAACGTCAACAAAACCAGCCTCGTGAGCTTCCTTCCTCTTTCACCCTCTTCACCATGATCAAAACTTGCACCATTTTTATCTTCATTACCTTACTTATGAACAGAGAATCCCCAATCGGTTTATTAGAGGTCACCGGAAGCAGATTCTTTTAAACGACGTCTTACTCATTGTTTCCGATGACGAGGTTTGGCGGTTGGGCTGGATGATCTCCGGCGAAGGCAAACTCTGGATCCAGAAAGGTTGGCCGGAATTCGCTAAGCATTACCGAATTGGGTATGGACATTTATTGCTTTTCAAACATATTGGCAAATCGATCTTCCATGTTAGCATTTTCGATTCAAGCAGCTGTGAAATCAATTACACATCGCCCTCAAAATCCCCCAAATTGCAGAAATTGATCGATCTATCTATGACTCAAGATGATCAAATTGAAGGCAAGACTCTTAGTTCTTACTAACCCACTTAGATTCTAGGGTTCCGCCAACCGTCGGTGGTCGGCCACTAAATATTGGTAGACAGGTGATCATAGTTCAGATGTTGCAGGTGCAGGTGCAGGTGGCGATAACGATGAGAAAAGCCTGAAGAAACCATTGGTTATGGAAGAAACCAGTGATGATAATTTGATCGAAAACGTTCGGCATTCCATGACGAAGGTTATCAAAAAATCCCACGTTAATCAAATGGTAATTGATCAATAGTAATACGATGAATAGTAATATGTTTTCTTGGAGAAACTAAAAGCTTTATGTATGTGGGTATGGATTTACGACAGCCGATGAAGAAGAGTTTTTCGAAATCGGTCGGAATCAATGGCTATCGCAACGTGCGGTTGAAGAATGATGACGGAAAGATATGGAAAGTGAAGGTAAGGAAGTATGTGAAGGAAAGGATGTACATAGGATGGTCTGGTTTCAGAAAAGATAACAAGATCGAGGTCGGGGACTCGTGTGAATTCGATCATGTTAAAGGTAACTTGATTCATGTTCGTGTCTTCAAGAAACATCAATAGCAGAGAGGTCCAAGAAACACCATCTAATAACTTTACGAGGACGACTAAATCACATGTGATTATGTAGAAAATCACATTCTACGTGTTTTACGACATGACCTAACGAGCACGGGGGACAACACCACTGATACGATAGGCTTTTTATAAGACGGAGCCAATTCCGTTTTATTAGAGTACTTTTAATTTTCTTTAATTTCTTACTTAGTATTAGTAGTTGTCGTATATAGCTCCTGTGGGTTTTATATCTGAAATGAGTTATGTTTATATAGGAGTTATCTTCGTAAATGCGTTTTTATGAGCCTTGATATCAACAACGGTCTTTATCTTTAATGGTCTTGAATGCTTTTCTTTGGTCACGTCCGTTATCATTAACGAAGAGTAACCTTGCATTTAAATATCACAAAATGTTTATTTGTCAAAGAGTAAATAGCGACAAGCGTAAAGAATATACGATCATTGTTAGTTAGTGGCGACTGATGATATGAGTGTGTTCAATCGTTAATAATACTATATGTTGTCGTGATTGGTGACGATCAATAGTCTCGGAGTATTCGGTCGACAGTTTTTGTCCACGATATATACTTGGTCGTTAGTTTACAATATCATCCGTAACCTTGATCACTTTTACCTAAACATCAACCACCCTACTGGACGTGTTGTAAATTATGTGATTTACTGTAGAATCATATATGATTTACCTGTTTCTTGTAAATTAACCCTCTTCCTATCTTTTTTTATACATGAACAGTCGGTTCACAAATACGAGTTGTCCAAGGCACGATTATCTATCTTATTTTTCTTAGAAAACTGGACTTCATTGATCTCGATTGTTTTTTGAAGTTCTCATTAAACATTTGCACTTCATTATCACAACAAATATCATCATCTTCAACGAATATACACGGTGATAAATCGAGTTTCCTTCAAAATCCATCAACTGATTCAAGTGGGATAGATTGGTCTGCATTGAAATAATATGTCTGTTCATTTGCACATGGTAACCCGTAACATGTACGCAATTGGCATTTACAATTTCCTAAAATTAAACCAAGATCTTTTGACCGCTCAAATTTTTTGAAAATTAATTCCAACGCATTGCAATGAAACAAAATCATGTAGCTGGTGGAAGTGTGGTTTATTATATCGATGATTGACCTTTTAGCTCTGTTGGAAGCTTGCTTTGATTGATAAACTTATGTTTTCAAAATTTATTTTTTATATATTTTTATTATAACAATATTGTTTTTCATAAAAAAAATAATACACTTTAAAATAATTTATATTTGAATTTTTAATTAAAAAAAGGAGTTATTATCTGAATTTTTAGGAATTATTAAAAACTTGTGAAATTACTATTTGAATAATTAAAAACTTAAATAAGAATTAATAGTTGTTTTTTAAGTTTTAAAAACTTGTGAAATTATTATTTGAATTTTCAAAAAAATTTAACTTTTTTTTTTGAACAGGTGAAAGTGTAAATAACAACCTAACAGTACCATTGAGAGGTGTGCAAGAAACACCCTGGATAAATATGGAGAAGATGTTCCGTCGAATTTTATTATCATTTATTGAGTAATCGGAGGGATAAAAAGATTGCAGTCTGCCTGAAGAAACAAATAGTTGTCGATTATACTCCGTCGTCAGCCGTCGCAATGCCGTCACGCCGGAAACCCACTAATTTCTATAGAGTCACCCTCTCCGGCAACGTCAACAAAACCAGCCTCGTGAGTTTCCTTCCTCTTTCACCCTCTCCACCGTGATCGAAACTTCCACCATTTTTATCTTCATTACCTTTCTTATGAACAGAGAATCCCCAATCGGTTTATTAGAGGTCACCGGAAGCAGATTCTTTTAAACGACGTATTACTCATTGTTTCCGATGACAAGGTTTGGCGGTTGGGCTGGATGATCTCCGGCGACGGCAAACTCTGGATCCAGAAAGGTTGGCCGGAATTCGCTAAGCATTACCGAATTGGGTATGGACATTTATTGCTTTTCAAACATATGGGAAAATCGATCTTCCATGTTAGCATTTTCGATTCAAGCAGCTGTGAAATCAATTACCTATCACCCTCAAAATCCCCCAAATTGCAGAAAGGAATCGATCGATCTGTGACTCAAGATGATCAAATCGAAGGCAAGATTCTTAGTTCTTACTAACCCACCTAGATTTTTAGGTTCCGTTCCGCCAACCGTCAGTGGTCGGCCACTAAATATTGGTAGACTAGTGATCATAATTCAGATGATGCAGGTGCAGGTGGCGATTACGATGAGAAAAGCCCTAAGAAACCATTGGTTATGGAAGAATCCAGTGATGATGATTTGATCGAAAACGCTCGACATTCCATGACGAAGGTTATCAAAAAATCCCACATTTATAAAATGGTAATTGATAAATATTATAAAAATATTAATATATATTTTCTATTTTTTATTGGTTGAAAAGAATTAAAATACTATTTATTTAACACAAAGATTTAAGACTTGTTTTTTTTTTAAATTATCTTTTAATTCTTTGAAACAAATTAAAGTAGTATTTGTTTAGACGTTCGGTATCAAGAACGTTTGTTTTATTTTTAAATTTAAAAGCTTAAAGTCTCTAAATGTACTCTACAATCTTAAGTGGTTAATGTATCTTTTAATACCTCTTAATCTTAATCCGTCCTCTATTATATGGTTCTATTATGGGGGTTGGAAGATATTTGTTAGCGAAAACTATTGATCTTTTATGGTTTTGTAAAAAACTATTTATCTTTTATATTTTTGCACTAGTTTGACCGGTTTGGATTTCTGACTTCAGATAAAAAAACAAATAACCTTACTGATCCAGATTTTAGATTTCATGACCACCTCTTATAAATCAGAAGTGAAATCAGATTTCAGGCTTCACTATCTATTAAAAAACAAACGCCACCTTAGAGATTTCTCTAAATTTAGTAATTTTCGTACCCTGTCTTTTTTTAACTATTTTACCAAGAAAACGAGTTTATAGAAAAACAAAATTTAAGTTTATCTGATAAAGCCATTATGAATTTTATGTAAAAAAGGCTTCAAAAAGTTTTTAGGACGTTTTGGATGTTGTAACAAATTTTTTATGATAGTTTTGAAATTAAGTCTGGAGTTAATTTCTTTTATATCATGTTGTTTGAAAAATATATTATAAAAACAAGTGTTCAATTAACCCCATTTTGTTGTAGTTTATATGATGAATAGTAATATGTTTTCTTGGAGAAATTAAAAGCTTTACATATGTGGGTATGGATTTACGGCAGCCGATGAAGAAGAGTTTTGCGGAATCGGTCGGAATCAATGGCTATCGCAGCGTGCGGTTGAAGAATGATGACGGAAAGATATGGAAAGTGAAGGTAAGGAAGTATGTGAAGAAAAGGATGTTGTACATACGATGGTTAGGTTTCAGAGAAGATAACAAGATCCAGATCGGGGACTCGTGTGAATTCGATCATGTTAAAGGTAACTTGATTCATGTTCGTGTCTTCAAGAAACATCAGTAGCAGAGAGGTCCAAGAAACACCATCAAATAACTTTACGAGAAGGACTAAATCACATGTGAATATATAGAAATTCACATTCTATATGTTGTACAACATGACCTAACGAGCATGGGGGACACCACCACTGATACGATTAGTATTTTTAGTTTTCTTTAATTTCTCATTTAGTATTTAGTAGTTGCTTAGTGAAAACCATGTCCTTTAACGGAGATCATGGGTCGAATGATATAGTAGAAAAATTGTTCTAAACGTCTTCTCTAGAGCTTCGACTTTTCTTGGAGATCGACCATCTTGAATACGGACGTATCAATTGTTTATGTCAAAAATTACTTTAAAAAATAACTTAAGGCCGTTTTGGAGCTTTAACAACTAAAAGTAGTATCACTCGATAAACACACGCCAATCACAAAAAAGTAAATAAAGCACAAGAATTTGGTAATGCGGAAAACCCCGTTCAGGGTAAAAACCGCGGACGACACTTAAAATAGTCGATGCACTAGTGAAGTCAAACAGGGGCGTCGTTCTCTGTAGGTCGTAAGTACAAATTATGATATGATCGTGACTAAAGAATCATGAGTTTGCTTGAGAGCGTCGAGAGTGCTTCGAGTGAACTTTGTATGTTGCATGTGTACTTTGTACATAGCTCGTGTGGGTTCTATCTCTTAAATGAGTTCAGTTTATATAGGAATTATTTATTTAATGAGTTGGAAGTGATTTGATAAGAAAAAGTAAGATGTAGGTTTTTATTAGAACTTCCATTTAAGCATAGGAATGGGTCGGGGATCTTAATCCCGATCTCGATCCCCATCTCCATCCTCATCCCCACTGGGGAATATGATCACATTCCCATCCCCGTACCCAACGGGGAATCAAGGATTTTTTTCCAGGCTAAATATGGGATATTTTAAATCAAATGTGTTAAGTACCATAATCAATCAATAATTGACTAATTGTCCATGTTTAAATCTCATATATTTTCAAATTTTGTTTTTAGGAGTATCAAATATTCATATGTAAACAAAAATCACAATCATACACAATTGTTTGATAAACACGTTCGTATTTCAACGTTTTTTAGCTAAAAGAAGTAAGACAACTCATAAAAAATGTATATAAAAAGAAATGTTAAAACATATTTCTAAATCTAAAATATATAAATTTAAATTTTATAAAAAAATATTTAATAATATATTTTAATATGTGGACGGGATGGCTCAGGGACCATGTTACTCGGCCCTGTCCCCATCCTTGATTTTTAACTTTTAATGATCCTCATTCGCGGTCCTCGGTTTTAAAGGGAATCCCGGGTCCCATCAGGGTGGGTACACTGGGTTCCCCAATGGCTCCGGTCTCATTACCATGCCTACTTCGACTGAAGATGCTCTAACTTAGCTTATGGTTGACAAACATAATGGGGTGTCAATTTTGTACCAAGACCAACCAACCAATTCTCGTATCAACCGTACCAATTTAATTGGTTACTAATACAGTAACAACTATTAAACTTGGTTGAGTCGTGTACCACAATATACCATACTGTACCGACTTATTTTTTTAATTATTTATTAATCAGTTCAGTCAATAACACAACATAATTTGATATTAAATTATAAATTATCTTATTTAAAATTTTGCTATATCATAATATGGATGAATAGATAAAACTTAACTGAGTTTATTCATCTAACTTAATAACCTTAGTAACTCGTTCATTGTCGCTCCTAAATGGCGGCTTGTATTAGATTATTAGTGAATATTTGTATTATATGAATATTAAAATGCTTGTATATGTTGGGATAAGCTGTATAAGACATATCAACATGTTATGTAATATACGATTGTCAATTAAAATAAATTTGGACTTCAACTTTCGCGATATAGATTCAAAACCTGACCAAATCACTTATCTGGATGAACGTTTACCAAGTCATATTACCTTAGCTGATGAATACGGCAAAGACCAAGAATCTTATCCGATAAGAGCGAGGCAAAGACCGAGAGTCTTACGCGGTAAGTGAGGGGACGATTTTTACCACGGTTAGTGCTACCTGAGTAAACTATTGCATTTGATGCCGTTTTTGTTGACTAAAATTTTACCCGGTAAGTAACTGATAGAGTCAAATTTTACCAGTAAGAAAATATTTGATAAAAAACTCTTAAAAACTGAAAATATTGTTTAAGTTAAATCCCCCAAACCACCATTTTTTTTACACATAAAATATTGTTTATTGATGCATGTTACTTAAAATTCAAGATTTCAAAAAAATAATGCTAAGTATAACTTCTTAAAACTCAATGCTTGAGTTCGTATAACTAACTGCAGATAAATATAATCGAATACATGATAAGCGTTTCATTTTATATATAAAATAGAATTAGGATAATCAATGTGTTATAACATAATACTTAATTATTATATTTATGAAAAATTATCCTATTAAATAAAAATAATCACTTCATTACCTAAATTAAATTATAATAAAAAAATTGAATCAAAGAAATTAAACAACAAAACAAGAACTTTTTAAATAGTTAATTTGATACTTATATCAATTTTTTTTTAATTTATATATTATTTAAAAATAAAAATACTATCGTTTTTCTCAAAATCACATAAAACCGTATTATAATATCGATATGAGACAAAATAAAACAAAACGTTAAAATCAAGATTTATCTAATTACATTGTACAATTACCTTTTAATTAGGGGAAGCCTAATGGCACTCCTATCAGTTATTTATGGCATCCCTATACAACTATGTAATCATTATTCTTTTTGTTTTCTTTTTGTAATTTTGTCATTTTGTTGTGTTTTTTCTTTTTATACTAATTTTTTTAATTATCTTATTATAAATATATACTATTACAATTATTATTTTCTATTCTATAATAAATTAATAT